AGGAAGGAACTTATTTATATCAAATTCTACATCTACCATTTAATTCTATTTTATCTACTTTATTTGGCATAAATGTTAATGAAAAATTCCATTACTATTATTATTATAACCTTTTTTTAAACCTTCAGCTGTCTTCTACTTATGACATCATAAATTGCAAGCAGAAACCAACAAAAAAAAGTAGTACACATCAAATGTGTCAGATTTTTTTAATTTATCCATTTCTGCTGCCACTTAAACGTATTATCTTTCTCCTGTGAAATTACAACATTGAAACACATTAACTTCACCTTGATACAGTATAAAATTAGATGATGCACACTTATCTCATGAGAGTAGTAATAGCTATAATAATATATGAAGTTATAAGCATCTAAATTACAGTAATTAAGTACAAAATTTCGCATACTTCACATTGTTTTGTAATTTTTTGAAGTCATGAGTAGAGCTGTATTATATGCTATGTAATATATTTTATATAAAGTGATAATGAATACATTGCTGATAAATAACAAAATATCATACTTGAACTGATTAAGTTGGTTAAGTTTGTTTTCTTTTTCTAAACTGGAAATTATGAAAATAAATCTCTTTGACAAGATATAAGAACAAAATACATGATGCAAATCATTAGACTTACAATTTTGAAAAATAGCTTCCTTATGTACCCCCAGCCCCTCTTCTTTTTTGTTATAAATTATGCAAATCAAAACTTGTGAAGATATTTTTACTGGAAACTAATTGGCTAACTTAAAAGAAGGATGTTTGGTTTTTGAAAGAATGAAGCAAAATAAAAACCTATTTGGCAACACATAAAATTGTAACTTAAGTTTTTAGGTTTCATAAATGTACATACACGTCATATAATCCCAGTGTGTTATACAACTGAAAGGAACTGATATGTACCTGTAGAGTTCTTGTTCTATGTGAGGAAAGATAGACCAGATTTATTTGAAATGGTTCTTTTCTCCTTAAAGTATTTGATTTGTAATTTTACCATTAAAAGATCTACAAAAAGACACCATATATCTTGTTATCAAGTTTTACTACAAAAAGTGGATTTCTATAACTAAAGAAATACAAGAATTCATTTTGCATATACACAATATTTTATACAATATTTGGTATTTTTCATAATAGTGAATTGTCTGATATATTTATTTTAATTTTTAAAAACCTAAAGGTTTAGAATGGATGTATTGTATTGTAATAAAATCAATAAATTATCTGTCAAAGTGTTATTAATCACACTGTTTACTTCAAAATATCTGAACTTAATAGTTAAAATGAAAATATCAAAAATATACTGAAATAATACTAGATTACACCAAAAAATATTTGAAGAATTAAATTAATATTTAGCCATTTCATATTAGCAGTTTTGGAACAGATAAAAGCACTTGCACCTAAGTGTCTTTATTACATGTTCTAAAAGAAGTGGTTGAAGTTTACTAAAAAATATTCCCTTTGCACTAACAATACTTCCTGCAACTTACTCATGATATGGAACATGTTTGTTAAGAAAAAAAAAAAAAATTACTTCTTTCATCATCCAGTAAAAAAAAAAAAAAACTGTTTAATTTTTAAAGGCTGCAAGTATAATGTTAATATGCAAGTAAAATATTCTAAACCATCTTTGTATTAATAACACAAAATTTGCAAACTTGATTACTAATTGGAAAGTTTTAGTTAGTAAGGTTCCATTCATACAGATGTCAGCCAGAAATCATTTATTTAATTTTGACATTTTTTTAATATTCCATTGTAGGAAACTGTGAACAACTGATTTAAAATGATCTTGGAATAAGAAAATTCAGAAATCTAAAATTAAAGGGCAGTATGTGTTAATGAATGAGTTAAATAATTTCAAATTAGTAAGTATGGTTGAAGCTGCTACATATAACTGTATGTGCGTTAAAAGTAACTAAAAAGCATTTAAACTTTAGTTGTAACTAGTAAAAAAAACTGAAAGTACTGTTTGAATTATTTTTTGTTTGTTAACAAAGATTCTGTAAACTTGGGTATGTTTGTAAGATATAGAAATAATGTAAGGTACTTACGATTGTCATAACATGCTCATCCTAATTGTATTTATTTTTCAACAATTATGCACACAAAGTTCCTAATAAAATGTAAATTTATTATCAAAGTGTAAAAAAAGAAAGAATACTAATCAGTAATCATAATATTTTTTCAAATTATGAAGCCTTAAAATGCAACAATATATTGTTTGAAAAATATTATAAAAACCAATAATATCATCTGTTAAAAAAACAAGGAGATAATTTAAATTAATATCAGTACAAAATTTGATTGTTTTAAAGCTGCTCTCTTTTTCATCACACCCTTAAAGACCAGCATATTAGAAACTATTTACATGTATATTTTATTTACAAATGGCATACATTTTAAAAAATTCTGTAATTTTATTTTTTAACGAAAAATTGTTCATACAGTATTGTGCTTGCTTTACTTCATTATGGAAATGTGTATTAGATTTTGCTGTACAGAGCGAGGCTGACTGTGGACTTGTTTTACTCATAATCTGTATCTCAACATGTGTATTAGAGACTAATATTTTTCACATATATTTAATACAGTTACATTTAAAATGTTAAATGACAGCAAAGAAAATTATTACCATCTAGATCAAATTTATTTAGAAATAAATTTTGTAAGAAATATCAGTCAAATGATTGTCTAAAAAAATTTCAACAGTAATTTGTATTTCTGGAAGTCAAAATGGTAATCAAAATACAGCCAATCACTGATCATGTGTGAAAACTGTTGAAGTTGTTTGCCTTTAAATACTAAAATATTGTGAGGCAGTTTACTGGGATTGTTTATTAGGGCTCTTTGAAACTAAATATCTTAATGTATGAGTATAAAGAAACACTAGAAGCTTTAAGTAGTATAAGGGGCACTAAAACATATACAAATGAGTAAGAATTAATCATGAAGTTTTAATTGTTTATAAAACCTTACATAATATATTGAAAATGATTCCTTAATATTATTGTATTTACAAATGAATGGCATCACATAGTTACTTATGTTAGAAAGAAGATAAACTTTAAAGCCACAGGTACAAGCCTACTGAAATTATTAAACAATCAAGAATTATTCAATGGGCCCTCCCCATTCTTCAGTATTGGACATTAAATCCCAAAAATGTTTAAAACTACAATGGATTATTTCAAGAAATATACCAAAATGATTTAAGTGAACAATACTTTTCTCAGCCTTGTGCTCATGGCGTAAAGTACCAGTACTCATTTCTCCATTAAAACAAAAATAAAGAAGTACAATGAAAATGATGAGGAACGTAACACTTTTTATGTTTTAACATAAAATTGTTTTGTTTAAACTGCAGACTTGTAAACAAAAAATAAAATTTTTTAGTCTTTAAAAAAATTGTTATCAGTGTATTCCAATAGACATAAATTTGAACTAAACACATTACTACAACATAATGTGGTAAAAATATATAAAAAAAAAAAATACAAATTACAAATATCCCTGAATATTAAAATTGAATGGCACACACTTGAAAGGAAATAACAACATCATTCATAATAACTTATGTTATGCATCTGAATACAACAGTTCCAAACAAAATCATGTTTCATTTTGTATTGGGAATAGTTTGTTGGGCTTTTTATCTTTTCTGATATAACTTTTCAACTGGTAATAAAGCCCAATTTTTATATTTTTGATAACTTACAATCACATTTTAGAGGCTGTATCTGAGAAAAAGATGTATTTCTGTCCTGAATATTTCTCTTCCTCCATAATAACTGACAGGAGGAGGGAATGTAAATATTCAAAAGCTTGATTGTATGGATAGTGGATAGAAAGGTATCGTTACTAAAAGATGAGATCAGAGTCAAGGTGGACAACAGTTATTATTATAAAAATGTCTCTTGAAGGTAAACCTCAAGCTAAAAGTTCTTGTATATTAATAGCCTGTGGTTCTTTTAAGTATAAATAAATTCTTAAGAATATGGGCAGAAAAGTTCCTTTTAGCAAGTGGCTGTGTTTCATGTAACTGAATAAAAAACTCGTTTTGATAAAAACTTTTTAAGTGGAAACAGATGGAATTTTATCATTACCTTACATGGAGCACATATTTGTGTAAATAACTAAATATATCCAAAGCAAAATCATTTTGCTAACAAATTTATCTTTAAAAAAGTATACATCCTCTAATATAAGGACAAGCTTATTCACAGAACTTTGCACTTGTCAAGGGAATAAGGTATAACTATAAGATGTAGAGAATGTTTTTTTATGGTAACTTTTACAAATAGGTGAAATACATCATGGGGAAAATTATGGATTTATTTATGAAATAAGGGAAGATTATTTACACCAGAAAAAATGTATAAAGAGAATAATGAAATCCCACCTTATAATTCCCAAAGACAAATTGCCTTCTTGAATGTTTAAGTGTTGGATGATTACCCATATTCAGAATGATTAAATAGAGCACATAAAATACTTAAATAAACGGAAATATAACTTGAAAAAAATCTGAATATGAAATGTCATTGTTTTAAGTATCTAGCTTGATACTTTTCAATGTTAAATTTTGTTTTCCAAAATGAACCATTTTTTGAAAATGTCCAGAAAAATGGAAGTTGCACATAAATTAATACATGAATGTAAACTCTGGTCAAACTGTAGGTCTACTGTTATTCTTTACCTGGATTGAGTAATGTAATTTGTTGTATCATGTAACATGATCAGAGTAGTATAGAGCAGCTTCATATATTGTAACTCCAGTAAGGTTCCAATGGTGTTTTAATATCATTGCACTGAATAAATAAGTAAATAAAAAGATTTCTGTTGGGAAACAAGAGTTGTTTGAGGGTTTTTGTAGTAGTATAGGAGCAAAGTGTATTGTACTGCTTAGCATTAATAACCAATAATGATGATGACAGGATATTCAGTTATCCATTACTGTGTTTGTTTTTCTAAAGGACCTAAGGTTGTGCATAAAATGACTCAAATCCCTTTCTTAAACATATTAGATCCTGAATGTATCACCCTGAATAATCACATTTTCTTTAATAGATAGAATTACTTAGGGAATTAAGTAAAGCTGATGGGCATACAAAGCTTAATTACTAAGAAAAATTCAGTAGAAGTAACCTTAGGAATCTTAAACACACAACTGTCAAAAAAAAAAGACCTGTGTTTCTATGTTGACTTGATGTAAGTTTTCGATGTATATTTAAGTCATAAATAATCATCAATTTACTATTTACACAAGTTTTTAAATACCATTATCTTAAGTATAAAATTGAGCTGATCCTCAACACAGCTAAAACCTGTGATTGAGAGGGAAAAAAACTAATTACTTAGATGTAAAACTTGGCAATACTCTACTGATGATAACTAAATATTTATCCCTCAAATGAATATCTGATATTGAATCATTACACACAATTCTTAGGAATGTCCCAAAATTTACAACATATAAGACATTTTGAAAAAAGTTACAAGAGGAAAATTAGATCCCTCCTTTCAGTTTCTTGATTGTGTTCTTGAGTGCCTGCCGTTTGTTACAGAACCAGACTCGCACTACTTCCCTTTCATAGTTCAACTGTTCAGCTAATTCTGTCATCTCGGCTCCTTTTTGAAAAAAGATGGAACTCATATTAGAAGTGGATAATAACTTAAGAAATGGTAATATTAAAGTATAACTTTCTTGATGTTATATATTTTTAAGCAGTTTAAACTGATAATTTGTAAAGGTTTTTTAATTTAAAAAAAAATAATTATAGTTTTTGGAATCAAGACTGTACACAACTTGTAAATGCAAAAATGGATTAAGGGAAGGTAGTGAGTCTCATTCAATAACAATATTTTACATTTTAAGATTGAAGAATATGCCAACAATTAACTGACCTAAAGATCTGAGCTTACTGTATTTGATTGGCCCACAATCTTACCAGCAGTTATGGAATTTTTAATCTTGAAAGAAACAGTAGGATGTATTTTATGTAATCAGACATTTCTGTTACTTGCTAACTTTAGAATATGGTAAATTACATCTGTATTTAGATCTAACTTTGAAACTAAATGTGAAAGAAATTTTGATATATGAAGTATTTTTTTGTAATAAAAATGAAAGTTTTATTTTATAGTATATAATCTATTTATAATAGATGCAGAATTTTCAAATATGCTAGTAATGAATATAAATTTCTTAAATTTGATTACTGGTGTTGATAAGGTTTTCTGCTGCTATGTATTTAAGATGTTGATCTGTTTATGTTTTGTATCTGTTACGACAGCGGAAGTCACGTCATGAGATTCTCGAAGGATCGTGACTTTTCCTGGTAACTCTAGTCTTTTCCAGGCGCCCTCTTTTTTAGTATATAAGCCCGGCAAATAATTGCAGATAGAGAGGTATAGAGACAGATAATTGAGTCAAGTGAGCGGTAGTGACCATAAGTAAAGTGCGTGAATCGTTGTGAATTATAGCATGTGTTTAAGTTAAAGTGACTGTAGAAATTTTGTGTATTGCAAAGTTGTATTGAGAAAGAATAAACTAGTTTTATTTAAGAAAGGACTTGTATCACTGAAGTTCCTCGGGAAGAATTTATACCGGAAATTAACAAACGAGTAGAGACGTAACATATTCATCAACTATATGTCAAAGATGGGTAATGTACTTTTCCTTATCTGACAAAATTTTAAATGTCTACTGTGCTATTTTGGGGTATTTAGTAGTAATAACCAACTGCTTGGTTTTCTTTGTACTGAAAATGTTTTATGTACCCAGAATAATTAGTACTTACCATACAAATTTGAAGCATTTGCACCATCAGTAGATAATTATACTACCCAAGATGACTAACCTGAAGGATGAGTATTTTTTTCAAAGAACTGGTTAAGTATTTGAAGTGCAGCAGGCGTAAATGACGTTCTTCTCTTCCTCCTCTTACTTGGTTCATTCCCAATGAATTCAGTTAAATTATGATCACCATTTTTATATCTCTCTTCTGCTTCTTTCATCCATCTTTCCAGAACAGGTTTGATTTTCTGAGCACTCTTTGGGGTTATATCTAGTTTTTCGAACCTGTTGAATATTGTAAAGAATTGTTAAAGTACTTAAATAAATTTAAGTCATATTAGAATATGTTGCAAAAGCATGTAAGAGGAGAAAATCAATTTTAGTAGTCTGAGAAGTAAACTTGTATAGAGGAGTTTGCAGATTAATCTAACATGAATCCTGGTATTGGGCAAAAGGCAGCATCAGCACTGGATACAGCAGATGTAGTGTGGTTGACATGTTATAATATATTCTCCTTTGCTGTCACTTATGGGTTCTTATAATTCATGTATTCTTTGTTTTAATGTTTCTTGATTTTTAGTGATTTGCCTTTTTTTTTTCTTAAACTGCCTTGAGGTATATTTTAGTTCTCTTGTAGTTTTATATGTACTCATTAGGTTATAATTCTTCCATGGAACAAAAACCTGTCCTCTTGCTATCTTTTTTTTATCAAAATTTTTGGCCTTAGAAGAATTTACAAATACTTTGTGACAACGTTAGATAACTTAACAAATATTCCCAGTATCCTTAATTGAAGTTATTAGATGTGAAATTGTTTCTTTCAACATTACAGTTTAATTTTTAAACATTCAATTACACTTTTTTGAAATTAAGTACATATGCAGTATATTAGTGTGTTAATGTTGTTTTTTATTAACATAATTTCTTACTGAACTTTATACATACCTACAGATGGCACTTTGGCTGTAGGAAGGCCCCTCAGTTGCACTTAGGGCTAGCCCAACTTGAGTTTGTGTTAATCCAAGGGATAAACGTCTGATTTTGAAGGCTTTGGCAAATTCTCTAATTTCTTCTAGATTGATTCCATCGACAATGTTTGATGTTTGGTTATTGATTGTGTCTGCAGAAATAGAACTAAATGAAAATAACTGCTTACTAAAACTGGAATAATTGAATATATCTTGTAATTTGGTGAAAATCTTATTGAAATTACGTGTTCTGATTGGAATTTAAAGTTTGTTATGTTTCAGCCAAATGGTTGGTATAATCATATTGTATTTCTTTATATTTTTATATATTTTCTTTATATTTTTTAAATAAAGCAGTTCAACTTATACTTTTATTACACAGGAAAATTTAATTAATAAAGGAAAATAATTCTCAGCAGTTTGTTAGATGCTTTTTAAAACACATTCAGCTATACATAATCAACATCCTAAATTCAACCTAATGTCTCTTGTACTGGTGTTTAGGGTAACAACAGGGTTCCAAGATAAAATGTACAAACATGTAATTTGGCTAGCAAATGAAGAAATTAAATTAAGTATAACTTCTGTTTTGTTTCTTAAAAATTACTTTTTTAGATAAAAATAGTAAATTATTTATCTATACAGACTTTTGACATAAATCAGAAAACCATATATCATTTGTATTATAGATTGAGCCAAACTCCACTTTAAAAGATTAATTCCACATCTGTGTTGATATTATCATTAGTATTTCAGCAAAAATGCAAAAGTTTTGCAGAATCTTTATTATTAAAAAGTTATATTTAAACTGAAAATTAATAAACTTAAGAGTAAATATATTAGAGTGCTTAAAAAATTTTAGGATATAAAACACAATATATTTAAGCTTTTATTTTAAATTTACATTTTTATAGATGCAGCAATCATAGTTTAAAGAAACAGGTCTGTAAAATCTAAATGAAGGTAGAAAGACTTACTTTATATCAAAAGTTTTGATTCTTATTTGTATAAAAATATGGAACATCTCAGAAATAAACTGTATTACCTAGTAAATCTTAATATTTTTTGAATAGTAAAATAAACTTGAAACTACAGATACAATGACACTTAAACAATGGTTAGATGCATGTGTCTTTTAGTTTTATTGTAAATTTTAATTTCTAATTGCACCCAAAAAAGTAATCAGCTAAGAAACCATTTTTTTAGTAGTTCATTTCTATAATGTCAGTACCTTAATAAGTACAACTTGTTGATAAATTCAATAAAAATTTCCTTTGTTTTTCTATATAACTGATGAAAACCACAAACATAACTAGAAAATTATTTTTGATCTTGTCCATAACTCATCTATAAAATTGTCACATTTTTTCATATTATATAACTACATCTTCACATTCCAATTGCAATCATTATTTAATTTATTGGAAGTGTCATTGTTGATGGTTGAAGAGTCCTGAACATCATCAGGTATGGAAGTTGGTCTTGTGAGCCTGTGTTTTTTTCTGATACCATTTGTATTCCAAGAACCTGTGGTGTAACTACAAAAGATAGGTCACCACATAAAAAGTAACTGAGCCACCTACATTTATTTCCCTATAATTGTAGTTATGATTTTGGCTGGCTCAGGCCTCCCCACAATTGTGGGGGCAAACTTACACCACTACCAGGAACCACAATAGTTATGCTGTGTGTGTGCTCGGCACTCCACTACTATTGTGTCTGTGAAGCACAGACAATGCTAGAGTAGTATAGGTGTCATGCTAAAATGAAAGAGAGTGCATCTTACTTATAGTATGGCATGATTCAATATTTGCTCAGAGATGATCATCCCTTTTACTACTGGTCCATACAGATAGATGTTTTTGTGTATATGATAATACCTGCTTCTGTTGATATACAGTAAATGTCAGTTATTGTAGCCATATCACCTTACTTCACTTTTTTCCCACATTGAATTCTTTTGTGTTGAACTTTTATATTCTACAATGTGTTATGTTGTTCACCAGTTTGTGCTTGTGTTGTGCAACAGCAGAATCAGCTTGTGTGTTTTGTTTGAAAGCAGTGTGTGATACTAGTTGTAAATAACACTGGTAATTGTGATGTAATCTCCCTATAAAAAGAATCTGCAGGTTGTTAAGTACCTTCTGCCCCCTTGTCCAGAAATTTCCACTGTTTTATTTGACCACTTATTGCTTCCACTGCCCAACATACTTCAGTAACAAGCCTTAAAAAATTAATTTCTCTGTGGGATGCTGGTTACACTTTTTTTCTAGAAAGAATAATGCCTGGGTTTTGATACCCAGTTCATGAAGAAGATCCAATGCCTCCCCAAATCCTTTATTCATGACATCCACATCATATGGTCATATCCTGATCTAGATGTTTACAACATAATTTGAAAATGTGTGATGAGCAATTCCTGTATCATTATTTTACCCATCAGCAAGCTATGAAACAAGGACCAAAACAATACATCCATCAGTGGAAACAATCATCATTAGATAGACAAACAATCATTGCTTTTGGAATATGTACTTAGCACTTTTCCAAATATACACGTTGTCTAAAATTAAGACAAAAATACAGTTTTTCCCTTCTACCAAATAGCCTCAGCAAGAGGATAGGTATGACTTGATATCATTTCTTGATGGTTTATATGTCCTCATCCAAGATACAGAGGAATAAACTCACTCACCAAAGAAGAATGAACCAAATTTATTGCCTTCTTTATGGCCAAGTATTTTTCCAATTTCAGGATTGTAAATAGAATTATGTTGGATATCCCATTAACCCTTTAGGCATGGATGGAAGTCAAAGTGTGCATGCCATAACCTCTTGTGCCATACCATGTTGAATGGTATTGTGTTTGAGGTCAGAGTTATCAATTTAGAAACAGTTAGTGGTAGAAAAGAATAAATGCTAGATACAATATGCAGGAATACTTAAAAAAACCTGTAAATATGCATTTTGGAGTTCTAGAAGTTATGTAATTGCAATATGCAAACTGTATGATGACACAAGTATTTCTATTCTTCATATGAACATCAATCCACTTGTCAGAATCTGAGTCAGTCTAATGTCAGTAATTCAAAGACATATCTTGAATCCATACACATCTGATTTTTTGTGTACAACAGACTTGTACATTTGACTAAAATCTTGCCACATTTCATGTTGATATGCAAGGTAAGTTCAGAATTATATTTAACATTCCTTTTTCAGTATGGGGTCCATCCAGTGGACTAACCCTATGCACATTCAGTTAAGGAGTTTGACAAAGAAAACCAATAAACAGTTTTATATAGATCTTGTATTAGCATTCTTAAAAGTTAGAATCCTGAAAAAATAGGTCATCAGACTGAAAATTGGTGAGTGTGATTTGATCAAAGTATTTATGGTTATCTTTTGAAACCTAAAAAAGTCTGTTGCACCTGATCTTGTTTTGCTGTAATATATATGTTTTTAAGATCAGTTATATCTGTTCTAATTGGTAAATGGTCTTTCATCTTTACATCTATCACCTGGAACAAGTTGAGTACAAACTGTTTTCTGTGAAAGTAACTTCTGCAGCACTTGACCCCAACAGTTCACAGTACCATGCATAACCAATGATACAACAGTTTGTTGAGTACATTTTGGACATATAATACTAATATGACTATATGATGTTCACTCTAAAACACCTAGGATTTATACGACCTGGTTTGCTCAGAGATGCACTAGATGTGATATGGAAGGTTCATCAGTGTCATCAGGTACATGATGTCATTTGGTAAAAAATGACACCATATTTTGCAGGTGTTTTCTTATTGCTTTAAAGGTATCTGCTTTAGTCATTCTCCATAAGAGAGTCTGCAATTCCTCAAGAAATTCTATTGCATCGACATCATTTTCCTCCTTATTTGACAAACTGATTTGGAGACCCATTGTTTCAGCAAGTTCTAAGCTCATTTTTGACAAGACATCAATATAGTTTGGAAAACTGAATAATGAGTTGTGCTTCAGTTAACTAATAAACCTCTCTTCTAGGGATTTAACAGCTGTGTTGATATTTTAGTTGTAGGAATTACTGCAGGTTCATCAAAACTTTCATATGGAAAACTGTTTTTTTTTTTCATTACCTAATCTAGTGTTCTGGCATAAATTTTCTAGTGACTTGTATTTCTTCTGAAAGCTCCCGTATATCCACCAATGCCTTTGCAAAGTCTTTATGATTTTTTTCTTTTTGCTATACCACTAAGACTAGATACAGATTTAAAACTTAGCATCGTAGCAGCTATTGCTCTTGCTTGGAAAACAGCTCTTTCTACTGGCTCCTGTGAGGGTGTTGTCTTCTACTATGGAGACCAAAATGTCATAGACCTCTTTCCATTTAGTAACAGAATGCAAGAACAGCATCAGTACTACATTCTTGTCATTCAATGACTTCAAATTTAACTAGAAAACATATAGCAATACTTCCCCAACAAAGCAAAAACTAAAAGCTAATGCTTTGAATCAAGTGGAAGAAAATTACTACCTTGGTACATCAATTAGCTGAATTGTTCAACAGTGTGACCTCTGGATGGTGCAGGAAAAAAAAACTCTTTGAATTTAAGTGTGTATTTTTTGTAGACCATTGCTCTTGTCTTTCATGCTGACTCCATTATCATACCCTTGGTTTTTTTAATGAAAAACAAAATATGATAAATTATTAAATAAATCTCAGAAAATTTTCATTTCTGGGTGTGAGAGCTTCTCATGACTTCCACAGAAAGCAATATTTTGAGTTACATAAACACTTATTGAGGCAGAAAAACGTTTAGTACATCTTTCCAATACACCATTTCTTGTTTAATAAGGCATAGAGTATTTATTTGTATGGTTAATTTTCAGTTGAGATTTTAATTCTTTCCACTATTGAAACATTTCCAGATGATTTGTTAACCTAAGAGCTATGAAAAAATATTCCACCCCTTAGCTACATTTGATGATTCAAGAGAAACTGTGGTTTCATCAGTTTTTGATACAGTATAGTAAGAAGTTGTAGCACTAGTCTTTTCACATGATTTTGCAGAAGTAGTCGATTCATTCCAATGGAAGATCCTTTACTATCTTTTTTATCACACTGCAAACATTTGAGAAGAATATTGTTCTGGTTTTCAAAATTTGACCTATTTTCTGTTTTCCTTTTCCAATATTGAAGTGAGTACTGGTGTTTTAATTGTCACTTTTTAGCTACCTTGCAAATTCTTACAAACTTTTACAAATGGCAAACTCTCATAAAAATGTTTTTATTCTATGTGCTTTGCTTGTGTACCACAGTGACTTAGTTTCCAGAATTTTTATTAAATTTCTAGTTACACATTTTTGCAATGCTTTTATTATGCTTGCTTCCTGAAAAAATTCAGAAACATTGGCTATCTGCAGCAGATATGCTGAGGCAAAAGACCCATAACAAGAAAGGTGCATCTTGACAACAGCCCTGTAGCATATTTTCCATTTCAAAAGGTTCTGTCATAAAATTTCTTGTCTAAAGCTCTCCATAATACATCAAGTGTATGAGGATAATAGTTTCCCAACTATAATTTCAATAGTCCAGTCACACACAAATTCATAAGTGCTATGTCTGGCAAATTGATAGGCACTTTATCCATCAAATTGACTGGTATGTCTTCATACAGGATAGAGTGAATACCCCTTTCATTAACCAACTGGCTGAGATATGCAACAATTAAATGGGAAGTATGGCTGGAGCCTTTGTAAACTCATACCCTTTTGGCCTTGTTTCCAGATAAAGATCCTTCTTGATTATATCATGTATGAATATTTTGCAAAGGGAAGAACTGTTACATAACAGTCCCAAAAGTGATTAATTTTTCGTGCCATCACATTACCTAAGAGCTAAACAATGCCACATACTACAAACAAGATTCTAGAAATATAAATCACCTGAAAACACATCTTGTGATACAATTCACAATAGAAGTAGAAAAAAGGATAATCTATCTCTAAATGTGATAATTTCCAAGACACTTAACCCATTAACATAGAAGCTTACAGGAAACTCATACATTCTGGTGCAAACTAACTCAGCAGTGTAAAGATGGATGTCATAAACTGCCTAGTCTCCAAAATAAACAAGATATGTAGCACAGAAGACACTAAGAAGAAGGAAAAAAAATATTATAACTACAAACTTTAAAAATAGATACCTTTAACATTTAGTAAAAAAGAAAACTACAGATACATAGACGTAATCCCCCTATGCTAGAGGTCTGTCCAAAACATACAACCAGTATAAAGTCAGAACAGCATTGTGTAGAAGGTACAGCTCTATTTAATCACAATTAGTATACAACAAACCATCTAATGACCCAATGAAGAGTAAAACCACTACTTATTCCTTGTGGATGTGGACTTCAGTATGCTGAAGAAACAGGAAGTCCGATAAAAGTTGGGATTCAGAAACATAATAGACTTACAAGACTGTAATACTCGTCTGTCTGAAATAGCTCATCATGCCAAAAAGGAAGACCACACAATAGAGAGGAATTTATTTTTTACCAGTTACAGCTTCTACAGTAACAAATAATATTTTTTAAAACAAGTACAAGGTTTTGATCACTGGTGCAACTATTCTCAAGTACACAGGATCAATAAAAGAAATATTACAGAAATAATGGAATATAAACCACAATTCAAAAAGAAGCATCTTACATAAACCTGAGTTATATCACACATAGACACTCTAGCATAAAATATAGAACAACCTGGTATCATACAGATAATTAATTTGTGCTCTAATGGAGTGAAATGTCAGTCAAATGGATAACTAGCACACCAGTCTTTCTAAGAAAAAGACCTATGATCAAATCCTTGTCCATAACAGCACAAACTGCCCTTCTTGGGTGTTCCCAAGAGATGGCAGCAGACAAAAGAGAGGATTGCCCTAATTAGTATATAGGAAAAAAAAACTAGTTAGGCTTAGGTGACTGTATGAGACATTCTTTATATAAGTAGATTAAGACGTCAGTTCTCTTGGTTTATATACATATAATAAACTTCTCTAAGAGTAACATTATTTCATGTAGAGTAGATGCTATCACCTAGAGTATAGCTTATAAATTTGTTCTCTGTATGCAGGCCTTTGAGACATAATTATATTTTAATAAATATGATGACAAAGAAGATGTAACATCTATAAATTGACAGGGTTTTTCTTTAATAACTATAGCTAATATGAAGATTGAATACCATTATGTGTAAAAAGGACAGTTATATGTGAGTGCTTTGACATGATGAACTAAAATCATGTGTTAATACAGTTTACAATGAAATGTAATTGTGCAATCTGTCTATTAAAATGACAGAAAGAGGCTTTTTTTTAAAATTCAGCTTTGCACATGAAGACAGCCATCAAACGCATGTTTAACGTTATTAAATCTGGTCTTACATGACTAGCTACTTCAAAGCCAAATAAACAACTAAAACACAAATTAATCTAAACTATTTGCCTTCAATTTCATAAAACAAACAAATACTAGCCTGTATTGTGATCAAACATACTTGTAGCTTGAAGGGTGGAAATAGTTGGAGTACTATCTACTGGTGAAGTTATTCCCCCTCTAACAGTTTCTTGTAATGTGTGAGTAAGAGAAGTTTCTTGTGTTGGCGGCAAATGTTGAGTCACAGTCTGAAATATTAAAAAAGAATAATACAAAACTCAATCTTGTTAGTCAGATTCATATTTTAAAATTGAAGATCCTAAAATATAAACTTTAAATAAAGTAAATAAAACATACTGTTACAAGAGAAAAACAAACATTTTTGGGGGGATATTTTAAATATGACTATAATTGGTATCATCTTCTTTTATTGTTTAATTAATTTTTATATTGGCTAAGTTCATTAACCTACAATGAAGTTATGATTAATATACTTTTAGTCTTCCCTGTGTGTCTCAACCATAAACTTACAGTCTTATATTACCAGAATTCAAAGCTCAGACCTTACAGTGGGCAAATTTCAGATTGTGCTTAACAATAAAACAAATTGTGCACTTTTGAATTTTGAACTATATATATATATATATATATACTTTTATTCACATTTAGTATACACTTAAATCTTTTTTCAACATAAAAAATTTAGCATGATTATATGATATGAAAACTGCTTTTTTATTACTAGTATCTGTACTTAAAAAATTTCATCAGTGCTTCACAAATATAAAAACACAATGACTATATCTACAAAGTAGAAATTGTGATAATACATATTAATAGCTTACATTAATGGGTATCTTTAAAAATTCACTTTTAGTGTGTCTGTTTAATGTAATCTTCTCTAAGAAATTATTAAATACTGCAGATCAATAAGGTTATCAAATTTCTTTTTACCTTGAGAACATCCACACTGGGTATTATACAAACTAAATGATAATTATGCAGCAATTACAGTTTTTGAGCTACTATACATTTGTTATTAAAGTACCTTTAATTATAGAAGTACAGGAAAATAATATTTTTTAACAGTAAGTTGTACTGTGTTCTAAGACAGACAGACAGAAACAGGAACAAAAAAAACTACAATTTTCTAGCTTGTTACACTGCTGCTTCATCTTTGATCCTATAAGTGTATTATTATATTATCATTCATACATTCCCTATCCATGCACGTCTAATCTTTATCTAATTGCATAATGTTAACTTCAGGTATCATATTATCTCATAATTTTTCCAACAAATTTCTAAAAAAAAAGTAAATGGTTCTTCTAGTTCTATACAATAAAGGTCAGTTGTTATAAATCTTAGCGTTTTAATACCTGTTTTATTATAATTTTTCAACAGATGTAAAAAAACCATAGTTTTCTTATTACAGTTTCTGATATTAATATTGCTCCACTGATCAACTATACATTTCAATTTTGCTAAGTCTTCCCTTCCCCTTTTGATACAAATAACAATTTTGTGAAAATTGAGGTTTTAGAAAATTCAACTATCTATAAATTTAGTTATGGGGCCATTTCAACAGGTCATTATAAAAAGAAAGGACAAGTATTTAAGATTTTTTTAAAATTTTCTTATTAATAGTTTTAGTTTAGTTTAGCAGATGGAACAGCTGAGATGGACCAATAGGTCCCATGTTGTCCCAAAATGTATTCAAAAATTGCACGAGGATCAAACACATAAATGAAAAATTCAACAATGAAACATACTAGAAAGCTAGTAAAACTCATAACAGATTTTTGACCATAAGAAATTAAAAAATAAAATTAAAGTCCACTGTTTAGGCCATGGTATATAAGAATACAATGTGTTTTCTACTTGCTTAATTTAATATATCATATTCTTTTGAAATTATTCAGTTATTTTGGTAAGTGCAATTTTTGCATAGCACATGATCAAAAAAGTTAAATTGCTTTCCTTCCAGCTACCTATGTTTTTTACATTCTATTGAGATAACTCCTGGTCTGCTCATGGGCAGTATGACTTTAATTCTGTGCATTGTATAAGGATGGCAACAGCAATATTTCCCCCAGTGGTAGGTCAAGTGATGCCTCTACGATATGATCTCCATAAAATTTGAAGAGGCATGACCAGTCGGAGTAGTGCTAGTCACTCTAGGTAAGTCTGATACTACTTTGGAATTAAGTAGCATTATGTTTCAAAGATCTGGTATACAATCTCAACTAATACAGTTTGGAGAGAAAACTGCTTAATCTTCAGTATAAGCAACTATCCAACATCCTAAGCAACTAACACACACACACACAGTATTTGTGCTCATGATTTAATAAAGACTGTTCATTTGTGTGTTAAATTATGTCTAGTCTCTTTATTTCATTCTCATGAGTTAGTTATTCAGGATTTCAAATACTCTGTAAAATATTTTTCAAATTTCTTGTTATTCAGTGGACTTATTCCACTGCTCTAAGGAAAAATCAGGAATATACCATAGATTGGATAGGAAGTAGAAAAGTTTAGTGGGGTGACCACAGGACATATTGTGGAGATTTATGTTTTCTGCTGACTTGTGTGTATCCTTTACTCCTACACTTGTGTTAATAAGTTTAAAAATGCTTCTTTATTACAGGAATGACATTTTCACAACCAAGTGGAGGAAGAGTCAGTCACTAAAGGGACAGTGTTGTTTGAAAGAGTTTTTGAGTCTAGACCAATGCCACAATGGTCCATAACTTTCATCCCATTTCAGCTGACAACTCAGGTTGAAGAGTTGCTAACGTCTTATTTGCTCAGATATTGCTGTTCCTACTCTTGCCCGGTGGATTGCCCTCAGTGAGAGGGAAGCATGAAAAACTGAGAGTCGATACATTAGTGTGGCATCTAGTGAGTATAAAACCAAATTTGGCAGTCTGTATAAGACTCCAATACCTTTGCCAGTCATAGTAACCCAACTCCAGCTCTAGTCAAAGCCTTCCAAGAATGGTCAAGAGAAACATAAGAGGCTTTTGGTAGATGATGTTTGACAACAGAAGCTATCTCACCTGAGTCTAGAGGTCACACAGAATCAATATACAAGCTTATGACACCACCTCTTTCCTGAACCAGGGATCGATTACTCTCATGACAGTTTGACTCCATGAGCATACTTACTTTGCTGATTTCCACAACATTAAGATTAGGTGATGGTCATGAATGAAAGGTTTTGGCCATGATCACAGGCCCCCTAAGTGAAGCAAAACAGATTATGCCCACAACATTCTAGGGTGTAGTAAAGGGAGATTTGGACTATTTCCTGAAGCATTTCAGTCAGCTTAGAACATCTGGTCTACAAAATAGACTGTACAATACCTTATGTTGAGTCTAAACAGTACACTCTAGACTACACCAGGCACTTGAATAAGGCACAACTTTTGGACTATGAGACAGGTTGTGCTGAAGGTTTGACCTTGTGGAAAATTGAGCATTCTATTGGGTGAGTTCAAAGCTGTCTAATGTACCCTTCTGCCAAGCCTTGAACTTGGAAGAGGGGCACCAGTGAAATCATTAGTGCTAAAACAGATAATCTGTACCATCTGTATAGTAATGCATACCCTGCAATATCTTTGGCAGATCTTGAGTGCATCTTAATGGAAAGGCTACCTAGAAAAATGTTGAGGCTCTAGCAGGATGTGAGACCTTCTCATATTTAATGTGGTAGTTTCTGTAGCAATGCAATACAAAGTGGTAACTTCAAACTGGTTGCATGAGAGGAAGAAGCTTGTTGTACCTACTGTAGTGGCTGTACTTTGAAAAGACCATTCTACACAGGCCTACACATCAAGACCAACCAAACACCCACAAAATCTAGTGCTGTGTCCAGTGAATAGGCAGGGCTCTCATAGTCATCCCATGTTTTAAGCTGGCCTAAATAAAATGTTTTTAATTGTGTACCAGTTTTAACATTGAATATTA